ATTAGCGGTAATAAAAGCCGAGGGAGGTCAACAGTAATCACTGACTGTTTTAGGAGCTTTTTGAGATTAAATAGAAGAAAATACAAAACATTAAACATGTTAACAACACAAAGGCCAAATAATTTCCCCCAGGGATCAATAAAGTATTCTGATTCTGATTAAACGCAGACTACTTTAGACCCGGAAGTAGGATTTGTCGCGTCATCACTGAACAACCGGATTGTTTTATGATCAATGATGGCAATAGAAGGGTTTTGAAATTAAATGAATGCACTGGTCATAATTTTCAAATCTGTTTGTGGATTTATTATAAGATTGCATTATTCTTCTTTTTTTAAATCATGTGTGAAAGCAACAGTTACACTCTTTCGTCCATCCGGTATAGTGAAAATAACAAATAACAAAGTTTGAAGTTTTTACAGTTTACATTAAAATTTGAATCATATATATTTAATCTCTGTAATATTCTGAATATTTATAATTGAGTTATTTGCATATATTAGAGCTATTGCTTATATTTTGTAGCTTCGTATACTATATTATTTAATTGAGTTCAGTCTGTTGCTGTTCACTGTAACCACATAATTTCCTTTCAAGATTAATAATTTTCTGATTCACACACAGAGATGGATAGATAGATGGATAGGTAGGTATTGTATCCTTCAAGCTCAGCTTCTCTACCAGAGGCCTGAGATCTTGAGGTATGTATTATACTTGATATCATGTTAGGATTTTTTCCCCATCTTTACAAGTGTCAGATTTCTTCAGTATAATAATGCAACTGTTCACATGAAACAGAAGGAATCTGTTGGTTTTCAATGTGAATTTTTTTCGAATTGGCCAAACACTGCATCTTTAAAATCTGCAGGAACCTTTGGTGGTACAAATTGTACAGTCTTCAAGGCACTTTTGATGGAGTGCTGATGATGTGGGGTGGATGACTCTGTATTTACAAGGAGAGGCACATGTGTCACAGCCAGCGGGGCAAGCTGTGTGGAGTTTAATAAGGACCCAAAACGCAGGCACTGAGGGGAAGGAAAAGCGGAGGTAACATGGAAAATGAGCAGCAGGGAGAACAGCATGGAGGAACAAGTCCACAGAAAACAAAATCAAAGTCTACAGAAAACACTGGAGCTCACAAATACAGTCCAAACACAGTTCAGGGGGTCAGCCTGGGGGCTGACAGCAAAGAAGTCTATACGGTTCTGCAGGTCGACCAGGAGGTCGGTAGCACAGGAGTCAAGGGGAAAACAGTTCAGGGGGCCGACCACGCCGAAGGCAGTGGCGGCAACACAGGCGAAGTAAATCTGGAGACCGGCCGGGTGGAAGGCAGCGGCGGTGACTCAGGCGAAGTAGATCCTTGGAGAGAGTTACTGTCTTTAAAGCAGCCAGTTCTTGGCAACACAGGAGAATGAGCTGAACTTAAAAATAAAACACTGGGAAACACCCAGGACCATGAGAACATGCCCCATATTTCACTTTACAAACAGCAACATGATAAAACCAGTGGACTGCTGCTTTTTCTTGCCACATACAATGTATCACTTCAACAATGCACCAGAAGAAACAATGTAGAATGGCAGGGTAGATGCATAGGTTGATGAGCCAGGCGGGCGGTTGGGAGTAGGAGGGCACGGAGAGGTTAGTCTTGATGGGAAGCGTGAAGGCAGGTACCCTATAGATGCCTCAAAGGAAGACAAGACTGTAGCGGAGAAGGTGAGAGAGTTTCGTGTGCGTTTGATCCAGGAGAGCTGTGTAGACCAGGAAGATGGGTTCTGGGAGGTGACACAACGGAGAGCCATCTCCAGTTCGTGATTGTAATAGATCCACAGCAGACCACATTTGAATGCTTCTCAGCATACTTTATTGACACTCTTCTTCCGCACACGGTTGCTGTATACACACTAGCCTTTCTGTTTGACCATTGGTTTGTGAATGAAAACTCGAGCTGAGACATGCTTTGGCTCTAAGTGCAGAAAGTTTTCCATACTTGAGAGATGAATTGGGGACTCCAATCAGACACTCTTTCTGTAGCAATGGCAGCTTGAAAACATGATTGATTAAGAGTTTAGCGTTTTCCACGGCATTGGACAATTTCTCTCGGGGAATAAAGTGAGTGGACTTGGAAAACCTGTCAACTACTGAAAGAATGTTACCCATTACCAACAGCAAAACAAAGTCTGGGGATATATGTGAGCATAGTCTATGTAGTGTTGACAAGGTTTGTAGCAGACCAGATGGGCACTCTGGCTTACTTTTATTCTGGACACAGATTGAACATGTTGCCACATAGTCTCTCACACCCCTTTCT